TCCAGTATCCATAGTTAGAACCGTCGAGGTACGGAGGGCGCGAAACGGACATGCCGTCGTGAATCATGGTAACCAACCCAAGGACCCAAAGGTCTTTATCCTGTAAGTAGAACAGGAACACTTCTCTGGTGCCAATTGAAACGTAGGTATTTTGTAACGAGTGCGCTTAACGTTGTTAGAACACAAATAAACAACTAGAATAGCGGAAGCGATAAACCGAAGATTTAAAAACTCTTCAGGGAAGCGTCTCACTTCCCCTCAGAGCTCTTTCATTGATAAACCGTTTGTGCACACTTGTATAGTTTCGACTTACACGACTCGAACTCCCTTCTAGCCTAGCCACAACTACAGACGATTCTATCAACTACTTCTCCGACCATGTCCCGTGGATTTTACCTCTCGAATCCCTCGAGCTAAAGACAGTACTTAATCCCTAAGCACTGATCACACAAGTGTTTGAATGAAAAACAAAAGAATCAAAAGAAAAGACTTCAGTTCTTCGATGACGTAAGAACACCGAAAACTGAACAACGAAAATAAAACACAAAAAGCTTGCAGCTCGAATATGGAATAGAATATAATGCTCTCAGCTCCCCAAATTCGAGCTTTAAGTGGGTATATATACAGCCTCCTTAGGGTTGGAGTCTTCTCCAAGTATAGGACTCCTTTTGTTTTTGATTTCCTTCCAAGTTTATCCAAAGAGATATGGTAGGTGTAGATCTCTATCTTCTCTTTCCAAAGATCTTTCCTTTTTATATGATTTCCTACAAAATATATCCATAATATAAGATCATGCAAATCTAATATATATGTATATAAATCGAATATATAAATAGAAATATAAATAAATTCAAATATATAAATATAAATATAAATAAAAGAACTTCCCTTTTTATTTCTCATGCTTGCAAGAATATATCTTCACTTATATTAATTTTGAACTTCATTGCCAAAAATATAACTCTTTCAACAAACAAACAAACTCGGGTAGTTCTAAGTTGTTATAAATTATCCTATATTGCTTTTATGAGATACTTAGCTAAAATCACTAATATTTACTAATTCGATACTTTTTTATTATAACATAAGTTTTTGTGTGTCTAACCATTAGGCTGCTGGACATATCATATTAATTGAACAAAAATATATAATTATGCTATTAAATATTATATTATATTTTCTTTTTAAGTATCACATGTTCTAATAAAGTATTTATATTTGTATAAAAAAATATGTCAGTCTAATGATTAATTCAATTTAATACAACGCCAACGAAATTGACTTATTAAATGAGGTGAAGAGGATTAAATATCTTATCACAACACAATAAAAAGGGGACAATGACCGGCGAGGAATATTCAAGGCACATATTTATATTCCTCAACCTTATTATAGGATTTTTTTTAATGATTCTCTATTATCCTTGAATTTTAACATCCACTTGGTAGAAAGAGTATCAGTGCCCAAATAAAGATTAGTTCTATCATATTCTAAAAAGTATTAAATGCGTAATTATACTATCAAATGTTGCGACTTTCTGAAAAACAAAAATATTCGTCGATGTATTATCAGCGTTTAGGAGCTTCGATTGATGATTATAGGGAGACACCGTTGAATTGTTCAAGAAAGAGATTATGTATATATATATTTTTTATAAAAATATGACAGTAAGTCGTTAATAACACTCGGTTAAATTTTAAGGCTCATTTTACCCGAAACCTCAAAATTTTAACAAGATTTATAATGAAGCTTGAGTTATGGTCTGATGAAATTGAAGATGTTGGATAAATAGAGTAGAAAATTTTAAATGATATATGATATAGCCACACAAGGATAACCCGGTCTAGAAGCTCCCTACTCGACCGGTGAACCACTCGAACAACTCGCATGTCGACATGACTCTGTCGACATTCACACATCGACTTCCCTAAAGACTATTCTACTGAGAGCAATCGAGAAGTGGCAGAAATTGATCACGTCGACTCTCCTAAGTCGACCCTAGTACTATCGACTTTTACTAGTCGACATCAATGAAAGAAGGGCAGCAGGAGTATAACGCCCGAACATCCCGATATCCTAAGTCGACTCTCAGCAGTCGACTGAACTAAGACGACTTCACCCCAAAGGATTAGCCAAGCGTAGCCTCCGAATCCGCACATATCCACGAGTCGACCTCCTAGCTCTCGAAGTCGACCTCACATACCTCGAATAACAAAGAGGTGATAACGACTCATCACACTTGCAACATACTTAAAGTTCTACACCTTACAAAGGATAAGAAGGAATCTGGTGATGACTCAGCAACAAGGGGAGACGAATCGACCAGGGCATTTTGGACTTTCTAGGTCCACCGACTTGGGCATTCTGGGTACTTCAGGTAAATATTCACTCCTATATAAAGGAGGTGAGGTAACCCTAAACCCTAACTCTCATTCATTCCCACTCTCCCCCATAGCTGCTGCGCAGCATCTCTTCATTACTCTCATATTGACTTGAGCGTCGGAGGCTCTACGCCGGAAACACCTTCGGAGTTGAGTTTTTGCAGGAATCTCGCGGTCTAGCGACGGTTGGGAAGCGGTTCAAGCAGATCTGAGCTCATAGCAACCGGTTTACTCCAGATCTAAAAGTAGACCCAACAATATATGATTTAGTTGAAATTCGCCGTATGAATCTTAATAATATGTATAATCAAATAAAAATAGATAATAATGATAAAAAAATAAATAAATCATATTTAATTTATTCAGTGTATTGCAGATTTAGGTCCAAAGTATGCAATGCAACAAACAAAATATGTGTTATAAGTTAAATTATTATTTAGGAAAAGTTATTTCATTTACACAAAACATTAAGTTGAAAAAAAAAATTGTAACATTTTTTATAGAAATGATAATCCTTAAGGGCGTGATTGTATATAATTTGTACAGTAAATATTTCACTCAAAACTCAAATTTAACTCAACTTTAACTCGACTCCACTATCTCCAATATTATCAATATAATTAAACAATATCAATATTCATTATTACACATCACATCAACTTTAATTCACTATTCACTCACTCACATAATTTTAATTAACCATCACTTCTAATCATTTTCTCCTACTTTTACATCAAATCAACTTTAATTATTTTAATTTAAATATTATTTTAATATATTCACTAACAACTAACCATACTACTTTTTTTCAAACTTAACTATAGTTAAAAAAAATTAACCTAGTTTTTTACTAGTTGAATTCATATCCAATCACCCATTAGTTAAATTATCTAATGTAATTAGTTATATACTATCCGTAAAATCAATCAACTATGAGCTATAAACTAATAAATAAATGAACTTGTGCGATTTATTATCTCCCTTTCAGCTAATTGTAAAATTTTGCTCATAAGTCATAACAAAATAAATAAGCAACAAAGACCCAAAAGATACAAAAAGGAAAAATTAAAAAAAAAAAAATGGAACAAATAAATAAATGAATTACCAAAGGTCAGTACCAGAGACATACATGGCACCTCAATTACATGATTTATTAAATTAATTAATTTAAGAACATTTAATGTAGTTTCATAGCTAATTATGAATTTATGATTTACACGTCAATAATAATAATAATAATAATCACATGATTAATGAAGAATATTTTTGGCTAATCATTTGACCTCTGAAACACTAATGATGTCCGTACAGCCGACTTTTTTCCTCAACCTGCGAGCCAATTCAATCAGGTCAATCCCTTCACCAATCACAGCCACTTGATTTTTCTGAACCCCTTCAAGTGCTATTTGCTCTACACCTGCACATACATTGTTTTTATTAGAAATATGCAATTAATTAAGAAAATAATAAGTACTAATGTTATGAAATAGTTCGGAAAAGAAAATTGTCTAACTCATGTCTTTACCGATTTTTTTTACTGTTTATCAATACGATTTTTTACTTAGTGAGATCACTAATATGATCAAATTTTTGAAATATTTTGAAATAATTTATCATTCTAAAGAAATTAAAATAAACAAAAAAAGAATTACAAACCATCTGCATCTGCAATGATCTTTAGTGCCTTCCTTGGGCTCTTGGGGCATAAGTGCACTTGGAAAATGGTTTTTTGCTACAGAAATTATTTGTTAAATCAAAATAAGAATTTAATTTTATCCAGCAATTAAAAGGGCATGACTTAAAATTAATCATAATTAATTAGTTGGAGTTAAAAATGTTGAATTAAGTGTCCCGTTACATACCTTCATCTTTGTGGAGCTAATGCAAACTTAGTGTGAAAAAAAAATTGGAAGTTTGGGGAAATTGAAGCTAATTTATCTTCTTGTAATTGATTAAAAAAACTTAATTTGATTGTGCTTATGAGATTTTAAAAAGAATGCGTGTGAAGGATACAAAAAACAGATTCATTAGTAAATAATAGTAAGAGAATATATTCATTTTAACTTTATTGATTAACACTGTCTGATTTTCTGGGACTGGAAAAATGTGTTAATATCCATTTCCCCATTATTTTTCTCCCCTTTAAAGCTCCTTTTATTGCTATTTTCTTCAAATTGATGGGTACTGTTAGTGGGTCTGAATATAAAAGAATTCCAACAGTTCGAGAAAATGAGAAAAGTTTGAGATTATTAATAAATGAGAAAAACGTATAACAATTATATTTGAAATTGTTAATAGATATAACAATTAAAGTTTGTGATGTGATCATGTAAAAACAGTAGTGTAGTAATTGATTATTTATAAATATGTAAATGAATGAATGGTAGTTTTTATTGGAAAATGTATAATAATGGTTATTGAATTTGGAGAGAAAAATTAAATGAAATGAGTAGTATTTTATGAAAATTAAGAATAAAAACAAATAAAAGAAATCAAACTTTTACTTTCACAAAGAAGCCTATAAATTCCTCAAAAATCAACAAATACAAACACAACACACGCGCACACACATTCAAACTGAGAAATCCATCACAACAATCAAACATCACCTGTCTTTGGATAAAAGGAATATAAAANCATCACATATAGAGCAGAAACAAAATAACCCAAATTTCAGTATCTGCCAGAAAAAAATATCAACATAAACAGCCAAAAAAATCACTCCAAGCTCACGTATCGTCAACTTGAGAATGAAACACAAAGCTCGGGAATGTGGTTGTAATGTCTCTGTACATCAGAATTAGTTTGAATGTTTAGTGTGGCTCAAGAAATATAGTTAAAGTGCATAAAACGTTTTCATGCAAAAATCGTTTGAACTGAATGAAAAAAATTGTTAGCATTCACTAGTCGAAGCATAATAAAATCATACTTGAGATATTGAAGTGTCATGTTCTTTAAAAGTGAAGGATGACGAAGAACGAGACTTCTCCACTCTTCTTTATCAATCTTCCCATCGTGCTTAGTGTCGGCTTCCTCAAACGTCTGAAAAAAAGAAAAAGTTTTACCCGAAAGATGAGATATCCCAACTTATTCTCGAACAAAAAAATGATGCTTTTAGTGGCTTCCCTTTAATTTAAGGCAAAATTACATTTTTAGTCATGTTGGTTTAACGTCATAGCAATTTTAGTCACAAGATTCCAACTTTTCGCCTTTTAATTATGTGATTTAATATTTTGTTGCAATTAAATGACTGAAATTGCAACAAAATTTTAAATTATAGGACTTCAATTGCTTATCGAAAATCTAGGAATTTGATGCAATTTTGAGGGCTGAAATTGCAGCAAAGTACTAAGTCATATGACCAAAAAGCAAAATGTTGGAACCTTGGGACTAAAATTGTTATGAGGTTAAACCAGCAAGACTAAAGATGCAATTTTGCCTTAATTTAATGGATTTTGATCACAAATAAGCTGGTATCTCTCAAGAACTCAGAAGCCAATTTTCTCCTTTTTTAAGATCAAATGTGTTATTTTAATAACCTCTAAGAGCATCTTTTTTAGAATGAAGATCTCAAGAGAAAGAGAAGGATAAATGAAGAACTCAGGCCAAATATTATCAACGCAATTCTTTGATTATTAAATTAGGGGACCAGAATGCGAATATTAGATTTACGAGTCATGAATGCCGATAGATAAATGATATAAAACCTGCACAAAAATCGATCTACCTTATCAATGATACTCTCTATAACATCATCCGAAAGATTCATGCCAGACTCAGCCAATGTTGCCACCACCATTTGCTTTACCTGCAAAATACCATATTAAATCTGGATTTCTCGAAAATTTAATGAGTACTAGCCACCACACGTGAAATCTCTATTAGACTACAAAAAAAAAACCATAGTAAAAAAAAAAGTAAGTATTCTTGATGAACCTCAAATCACAATTGCGTGTGTGTGTGTGTCCTAAAAGAAAAACAGACTTACCTCTTGTCTTTCAATGAATCCTTGCTGCTTGAGATCATATAGTTGGAATGAAACTGTACAAAATGAATTTTTTTGGTTAACCAGAGTTAATTTGAAAAAAGTGGTAAGGTTAGTTGTTAGTGGTATTTTGAGTTTATATTAAAATAATATTTAAAATAAAATAACTAAAGTTGATTTGATGTAAAAGTACGAGAGAGATGATGTGGACTAATGGTTAATTAAAATTATTTGAGCAAATAAATAGTGAATTAATGTTGATGTGATGTATAAAAGAATTAATATTATTTAATTATATTAATAATATTGGGGATAAAGGGGTTGAGTTAAAATTGAGTATGATTTGTGTATGGATTGAGAAAATTCATAAACAAACACTCCCTAATAAAATCTTAGGAACCTCCAAATTAACCCCATTTATTCAATAATTCTACATGAAATAGGCATCAATATCAAATGTAATAAAAATGATACTCACAATCAATCTTTTCATCAATAGGAGCATTCGGGTGAAAGACTGAGAGGGCACGAGCAAACTCTGGAAAGTCCAGTATTCCGTTGTGCTTCGTGTCAAACAGATCAAATACCTTCATATTATACACAATTTTTCACAAGGTTTGAACTTTCACAACTCTACCAAATTAAATTTCGAACATGATACGTTAGCGCAATTTTTTTGGCAGTACTGACACGTGAAAAACTAACCCTGTCAGCAAAAAGGCTCTCCTTTTTGTTCGTCTTGAACAATGCAAGCTGGAACTCTTCCTGCAAGAGAAGTATTAACAAGAAAAAAAAAATTGAGAACCAGTGTTCGGAAGAAGTGCAGGGAAAAAGAAAGTTTCGATGTATAATACCTTGTTAATCAGCCCATCATCTATCACAGCACTGCTGATTTTTTTAAACAATTCATACAATGCTTCTATTTCGCTCACACTGACTGCATCAAAAAAGCAGATAAGCTAATTATCAAGAAATCTCTAGGGGTGTTCGGATTGTATGTAGGGGGAAATTGATGCAAAATGCAGGTTGGTTCTCAATTAAGATTTATTTTCTAACCTATTCAGCTTTAAACAAAATCCCATCATTCTAAAAAAAATGATTTTTATACAATTTCACACTTGGAAAGAGTCATGGTGAAAACTGATCGACCAAGGACCCTTTCAAAAAGTTGGGGCTATTTGTAATATTAAGAAAGTAAAGGGATAATATGTAACTACAAAACACTGGATGGGTAGAGTAAGCAAATGCAGTCAAGTCCATTGGTAAGATAGAATCAAACATCATGAAATTGTTGTGAATTTGGAACTTCCTCTGTTTCTTTGTTGCAAATATCCATAAAATAAATATCAGCAACTTATAAATGTGTCCTAAGCTTAATTTGATATATAACTTTTCTTGTTCATGTTAATTTGACCATCACTGGCTATTTCACCATTAAACAGAAAATTGACCACAAAATCCAACCAAATGATCCAATGAAACGGGTTTTTTCGTTTTTTACTGTGAACCAGACAAACTCACTTCTAAGTGAAACATAACCATGATGTGAAAATGCAATCTTTACATTAAGAGAAACATGAGAAAAACAATTGAAATGAGCAAAAATAAATAAACAAATAAATATGTCAGAAAACATACAAACAGTCTCTCTCGCTAGAGCTTCAGGACTTCCCAAGCCCCAAGATTGCTTGTTAATATCAGACTCACAGCAATTTACTAAAGCAGAAAGCATATGCTGCACTCCATCTAAACACCGCACCATCATCTTGTCTATAAAACAAAATCTCCATCACTGTGGGTAAACAAAAAGTTAAGCTTTAATCTTCAACAAGCAATCACAAGCATGAATGATAGAATTACTACATTTATAAGATGAAATCTCAACTTTGAGCCAGATTGATCCTATAATTAGATCACTCATCGTCTAAATATGACTTTATAAGTTCAATTCTACACAAAGTTGTAAAAGAGATGAATTTCTGATCCACCACACAAAAATATTCTCAGAGCTTAGAAAAAGCATCAGTGACAAGCCATGTTTATAAATGACTATCATTTTCGATCTGCCAGTGACCTTTTTATTTCTCTCAACATGCAACTGCTTATAAATGGTTTCAGAAAATT